AATTCTGACGAGTAACCCCAAGACAAATAGTGAGGCTCGAGCAGCGTGTCTTGAGCCGATACCGCCTGGGAACCGTGAGCGGGGGCCTGACCGGACCGGGGGAGATTGGATGACATAACTGACCGCAGTGGTCCCTTAAACTCCGACCGCCATCATAGACAGCGGCGCTCTGGTAATGCCATCATTTCCGTGGATCACGATTTCCCGACAGGCGTCCCTGGATATTGCGACCAGCTGTCAATCGCTGGACCCTGCGCTGGTTTGGCTTGTAGATCAGCCAGCACCACCGTGACGCCGTCATGCATCGTCCGAGCTCTCAAAAACTCAATAACAAATCTCAAGTATCGACCTTTTTGCTTCCTCCTCAGGCCGATATCCGAGAAGAGGATGAACACCGTGCTGCTCATCTCATTGTCAACGCTGTGGTCCCCATCAAGATGAAATTTGAAAGTTGAATCAGTCACCGGCAACTGTTTCCGTAAATCGGAGCGTTCGCGGCCTTCCCCAGAGCGGCGCACACTATTTGCCCCGTCTTCTTCGTCGATCATTGAATCCCGCAGATTGGTTCAATACCTGGCTGGACGAAAGAGGAAATCAGACCATCCAAAACGGGGGGTTGGGAGAGAACAATCACGGCTCGGTCCCGATCATGGGATCGCCTGGCCCCGTTGGCGTGACCTGGAGACTGGAGTCTCATTTCTAGCCATATGGTGCACTTGGTTTCTTGCACTCTAAGTTCTCTCTCATTTCCCAAGGCCCGCCTGAGCTTCTATTCTCAGCAACCTTTGATCTCAAGGTTGCATTTTGTTTCGTCGGCACTTTGAGGATCTTCCAAACAAGACAATTAGGAGCAAGGGCCCGCCGTCTTCGCTTTCGTGCGATGTTTGTCCCCCGATGCACCTCCGTTGCCGGACTTGCCTCTGTTCAACAGGAACCGGCGCCCCTTTTGCGGCGGACAGTCCACCCCGAGAATTCAGCAGAACCCGCGACTCCGCGATAGAAGGCCTGCTGTTCGTTCCCTTTATTGCCCTGGTACATACCGGAAGACAAGCCAGGTGCGTGATAGGGGCCACTCCGTCCGGCGTCCTATGCGCCTACAGGTGTCTTTCACGGTGCAACCCTGACGGTGATGGCCGGGGTTGTCGCAAAAATCCCAAAGGGGAATTCGCTGGCCCAACCCCTGCAGCTAGGTTGCCAAATCCCCGACAACCTCCTGTAGACAGCTGCCTATGGACGGCTGTCAAAACCCGTTTTGGCAGCGCGGCTCACTTTCAGCCACTGGTTGTTCTTCAATAAACAGCAGAAAACCTTGGCCGTTGGTCAGACGAACACCAAGTTTCGAAAGACTCATGTTTTACAAACTGATTGGTTTCCTGCCAAGTCACTCGATATTTCAACACCACCCTACAACGTAGTGGTTAGCGTATGAATACTCCCCGCGAAGTTTGTCGTACTGTTCTTTGGCGAGTCAAGGACCTGCTCGATAGCCGCGTTTAACCCCTTCTCTGCCAGTGGCAGTCGTATCAGTTGGGGTTATCCCATTCGTCCCCGTTCAGCTGATGTCAAGCTCTTGAGCGCTTCATCGGAACCCTCTGCAAAGGAGGCAGAAAGAAAAAAACCCAGGCCTCCGATCCCTAATTGTTTCGATGTCATACCCCACCAAACATGCATAATGGACAATCCGAACACAGCATCGCGTTCTTCATGCGAGCCCTATCGTGACGTGTTGGGTGGCTGTGAAGCTGGTTCGTTAAGAGAGAAATTCCCCGACAGTTCCGCAGAAACACGCTGCAGACGGCAAATTGTTGGTCGACTGACGGGTCTCTTCTCGACCCTCTGCCTGATGTCCCCTCCTTCTTTTCCCCCTTCCCGTTGTGGGGAGATATCGAGATGGGTTTGGCAGAGAGACTGAGCGATTTGTGGTAGCGATGGAAGAGCCGGCCAGTGGGGGCGGGGATGGTGTGGTTTCATAACACGAGGCTCGATGGTGTTGGTTGCAGTATCCCTCCATCCTTTCCTAACCACAGAGTGCACACTGCCAGTCATCCTCCTCTTCAGGGCCCCTCGCTCGCGGCTTCGCTTCGGCGGACAGGGGCATTAATCCAGTGTTTTTTTCCCTGTCTCTACTCCGTGGGGCTCGAGGAGGTGGCTGTGAAACGGAACGCTTTTTATTTTGCTCTGCTAGTTTGGCCAAGTGTGATCGCCAGCTCAACTACGGCGATCTGCCGTAATGAGGCGGGTACCCCGTGGTCCATCTTCTCAACCAACCCGTCTTTTGCAGGCTGGGGAAGGAGGAGGGCTGTGTTGTGGGCTGGCTAGGCTTTGTTTTGAGACGGCGTGGGTATTGTTCACGCTCATCGGGCGAGCGCCTGCGCATATACTACGGGTAGTTGGTTGGACGAGGCGTTCACAGTTCTCGGCTTTACTTTGACGTGAGGGATTCAGGAGGTCTGCATGATGGTGTGTGTCGACCTGAACGGAGCCCAGGAGCGGGGGGTTGTCGATTCGGTACGTTGCCGTTACAGCATGTGCCTCGCGACGTTCCTATCAAGTTGGGGTCACTTGAAGAGAGGCTTAATCGACGATATGACTTAGGATCTAATGCAGGTACCCGACCATTTTGGGCCCTCTGAGGACCCTTTGGGATGGATCCTTTGGGGGCTGCTGCGAGTCTGCAAAGCACGATTCTCCGGCAAAAGCGGGATCGTAGATGTGGCACCCTAGAGATTACAGGAATAAGCAACAACGGTTACGACCTCATCAGTTTGGAAAAAGCAAAAAATGTGGTGGTGGTGTGTAATAGTAAGTTAGGTGAAGGCCTGGCTCGTCTTTGATGCATTGACATTGACGTTTTGTGGAGAGGCGTTGGTGTGCTGGGTGTGTAAGACAACGTCGTATAACCGGTAGAGATGTGAGTGAGAGACGGAGGATGGATACGAGGTGTATCCGTAGGGTTCCGTGGGTTTTTTCTTTCTTTCTTCTACCTACCCCCTTCGCGATAATCCCTTTTGTTGGATAAGTTCTGTTTCGTATGGTGAGAGACATGCTCAAAGAGTCTGGTTGACCCGAAAACTGGAGTACTTGATAGATCCGTTTTGGACGATTCGGGATCGTGTCGCTGCTGTTCGACTCTTGGATGCCATGGGTGGGCCGTGAGAGAGTCTTGACTTGTTTGATACATTATGCAAATGGCAGTTTGGAACGTGGCTGGCGATTGTCATGTAGTTTCGGTCGGTGACTCTGCCCAATCGGCGGAAACATGTTTCCAAGCCGTTGATTGTCTCATGCGAAACACGGGTAAACGGCTTTGTAATACGAGATAACATGGCACGATACCCATCAGAGTCTTGAAGGATACGAAGCAGAATTTTTCCCAGAGAGTGAGTTTGCGGTGGATCGAAAGCATTTGGCTTTCAGAGTTTCTGTTTTTTGGGGTTGATGATGTGGGATGATGTTTGGCCGCGGCCCATGTTCGGTGAAGCGTCTCTCCCGTAATGTATTTTGCCGCAGACTCTCACGTTGGAGTAGTTAGTAGAAATTCACAATTCTTGAAAGTGAGCGTGCTTGTTTTCCTCGATGACGAGGCTGTTTCGGTTGCAATCTCCAATGTCGATGACGGCCATGGCTGCGCGCCTCACGGCTGGCTGATGGGACTGAAAAGCACCCCCCCGTACCTCGGGATATTGTATCGGGTGTGTCTCAACTTCAAACCTGGAACTTTTCCCTGGGTTAAGCCTTCGCCGCGATTCGAGTCTTTGCGCTCTCGCCATCAGTTGACGGTGTTCGTGTTGCTTGGCTTACTAGCTCCTTTGATATTCACGGATGTTTCCGAGGCTAATGGCGATGAAGTTTGCTAGTTGAGAGCGAAAACTTCATTCTACTTCTTGATAGCATGTTGGCATGCCTTTTAAAATAAAATAGGAAGGTTACGTTCTTTAGGGGAGGGGGAATATGCTTAAACACGTTCAGGAAATACCTGACAAAGTGAATTAAACGTTTTTCGATTTGTCACGCTCGAAGGATGCCAGGCCATCGTTTGGACCAATAATTGAAGAACTCAACTACCCCGAAATCGGCATTGAACCCAATAAAGCTACGATCAGGTCCGACTTGACAAAATCGCCACCAATACTTATAACATTAGGCCCTGACATACAAAAAGGAGGCGCTGGAACAACTACCATCTTGCAATCGTTGCTTTCCAGGAGGATACACCAGGCTGCTGTATAAGAGCACAAGAACATGTGTTGATACCGCCTACAACAATGCCAGTCGCAGCAGACTGTATGATTAGTCCCACACATTAAACTTTTGTGAAACCCCTCGAGAAGAAGGCCTCCTCTCATGAGTCCGTAGATGCTAGGCTAGAGATTGCGGTATTGATGGAGGCATAATTATCATTTCGGCCCCATCATTTGCCTTTCATGGCCAACGCAATGTACGAGAGAAACAACCAACGGTAGACGACCAAACACCCAAGTAGATGTATTCCACTGTTGTAGGACGAAAACTTGCGAGAGATTCATGGGAGGCATTAGCTTGTCTCCCAGCGCTGGGTTGAATATTCATCGTCACGGTGACTGACGCAAAGGCGGAGCAAAAGGCAGCTTCGATGAGTGAGGCTACCAATACCAAACTCGTGTTAAAGACCAAAACGCTATTAGCCAGTGTGCCTTGATTGGTATCCAGCCTCGAGCGATGTTTGCCATTGAAAAGTAGTAGAGTCATCACAAGAAACTGGGTTTCAAGGTCTGAATATGAAGAATGGACCTTCAAGTAACAACATTTGAAATAACTGTAGCTTCACAATTGGGCAAAAGGCCCTACGGTCACACTTCCTCACAATCCGTCATCCAAGATCAGAGAGAAACACTTGGTTCAGCAGTGTCATTATTTTATTTGTTGAGGCAATATCCTATACGCCAGGATTGCTCCTAGAACCTTTTATAACCTCTTGGATGGTAGACAGGCCGTTGACAGCGCGCTCGGCGAGCACACGACTATGAACCGTCCTGCATGCGTTTGAAACGCTCCTCGGCGGCCCTCGCTCTCCTCTCCCGGTCGAGCTTCATTCTCATCTCAGGAGTGAGACCCCTAGCTTCTTCTACCCTCTTCTCCTGCGCCGTCTTCGAAGACGCAACAGCCGCCAACCCGCCAGTCTTTGGCCTCCTGCCGTCAACCTTGGGCCCTTCGACCCGTAACCTCTCCTCCTCGGCGCGTCTTCTTTCCGTCTCTTGGGCATCCTTTTCTTTCCTGTCTCTCTCGTCACGTTTCTCAGCATCTGCCTTGCTAAGGGGTGCTGGTACGCGTGCGGTCTCCCAGTCCCACTTATCCTCACCAAGCTCTGATCGAGCGACCCGGAAGGCGTCTCTTGTTGACCTGTCACCTGCAAGTTCGAACGCAGTCTTGCCGTCTTTGTTGGTGACCAGGGGAGATGCACCACCACGTGTGATAAGGCCGAGAACCAGAGGCGCAGCGTTCTGATGAGAAGCCAAGTGTAGGGGTGTTGGCGAGTGGTGGTTTTGGTCCGATGGCTGAAACTGGAAGTCGGGAGGGACTTGGTTCGTCTTGAGGTAGGACAGCAAGGCTGGAAGTTTCGACCGCCGAATAAAGGCCTGAATCTGTGATGTGTGTAACAGCGCAGCCTCCTCTTCTTCCGTGAGCTTCGGCTTTGTAGGCTTCAGAGAAGCAGTCTTTGCAGGGGTAGGGGTTTCGGTTTTCGGTTTTGTCTCGTCCTCCGGGTTGATCTCCCTGACTTTTAGTCTTGTGAGCTCAATGAAAGATCTCATCAATTCGTTCTGGGTCGCTCTTCGCGTGCTGAACGGGAACCCTCGTATCCTAGCATCATTGTGTTTCAATATTTGCCCATCGTACGGTCCAAATAGCGTCCGCCGGTTTGTTGCTCCGGTTGCTCGAATGAAGAGCAACTCTGACGAATCAAGCAATCCCTTCCATTCCTGGAGGAGGTTGCGTACATCATCCACCAAAGCCTGTTCATTGTACCGACGAATGCTGGCACCGGCCGAGTGGGCATTGCCCTTGGAGTTGTCGTTGGCTGATTGCGAGCCACCCTGCTTCCGTCGAGTTGTATATCGATGGAACGTTTTGCGAGCAAGGACAGTCGCTTCGCGATTCATTGCGCCCGCTGAAGACTTGTTCTGTCGTGGTGGTAATGCTACCACCATGGCAGCGAAATGACCACCGCCAATCATGCACAAGAAGAAGTGAGGGCCTTTATACGCCGCCGGCGGCGGTGCTGCGCCGTCTTTTGGGATCTTGGGCGCGGTTATAGGATCCAACTGCTTGTTTCTTATGACTTCTACCAGCTTTGTCTCGTCGTGCAGCTCTTCGCTGCCGAAGATAGCCCTGTAGAGGCCAAAGTATGTGTTTGACGGGAGTACTGGTGAGCTGAACCAGATCAGAGGCGGGTTGCCCTTCCCTCTGCGTCGTATCGTCTCTTCGTCTCCATCATTGTATTCTGTAGTTGGCGATGCGTACTTGTCGGCAAGCGTCGCTTGCTTCTTCAGCAGTGCTGTGAGAGTGGACTCTTTGCGACCCGTTTCGACCTCCTCATCCTCGGACTCTGAAGAATCTGAACCCGACAGACTCTCGTCAAGGTCTCCGATCAACTTTTCGAAATCATTCTCGGACACCGGCTTGGCGCTGCGCAGCTTCTGCTTCAAGTTGTAGTGGTGCCAATCAGACTTTTGATGGCTGCGCTGATCAACAACGGTGGAGAAAGTGACACCGCAAAGGGAACAGGCCTGTGAGCCGACGAGATCGGAGGAAGAGGTGTCTTTTGAGGGAGGCGATGGGGGGGCCTGTTCGAGTATGGAGGCGTCGGGCTTCAGGGAGAGCGTTGTCAGGACTTCTTGGGGAAGATCATAGACTGCGACTTGGTTAGCAGGCGATGGCGGGGTAGCAGCTGGAGAGAAGACGAACCGTAAAGAGGCCGCTTGAGGAGATCTGATGTGTTTTTTGCAGCCATTTTGTGCCGAACGACAAGCCCCTGCAGCGATTCTAGTTGCCGAGTGTAGAATGAGGGACTGATGGGACGATGATGGTCCTCGTTTTGCGCCGTCGCAATGACTTAAAGCTCGGGATGGCGGGGCACTGCCACCAGTATGAATGACGAAGAGCTCGCTCTCGGAGATGACTCAGCCGGTGAAGCTCACGGTTCTCAAGCCACAAAGCGGTACCTTAGATGGCCGCCACAAAGGCCCCGCGATATGTGGCGATAGGTACGGCTCATTGAGTCCAGCTTAGCTAAGGCACCTGGGTGATCCAACGTCGACGGCCACGTGACACTACTATCACAACAGGACAAGCTTGGCGGGGTCAAAACAGGGGGCCTCGACCAAGCCAGCTGAATTGACATTAGGTTGGCGACTCATCACGTCACCAAGCGTGGATTAGCTCTGTGAGGGTGCCAACACTCCTTGGCCGAAGTGCTTGTTTAGATTCCTTGGCAGTCCGAAGAAGCGCCCTAAGCTGCGCTGTCTGGACTGTCTTACCCAGCTTACAGGTTTATCTTGTTTCTCCTCTGGGACCCGGTTGCACGTTGAGGTCGAGTGTCGGTTCTTGTATCACTGTCACTGACTGTCTACGAATACCTTGAGGTAGGTACATGGCGCAAGCCGTGCTGGCAGAAACTTGGCCTGCGTCAGTGCCCCCCCCTGGCCTGCTGATGATGTAACTTCACCAACCCGTGGGAAACTGCGTGGTGTATCGCGACTCCCAATCCTTATGCTGCACCTCAACTAGCCTTTGCCAAGACCAAGTAGAACAGGCAAAAAGAAGGTGCCCGCCTGCTGTATGCAGCTAAGATAGGTACCGTGTAGTCTAAGCCACCATTGTCTCCCGATGGTCCCCCTCACTTCCTCGCCTTGGTGACGGCTTTCTGTCTCTTGCTCGTGTGACCCTGTTCAGACTACAAGTAGCCAAGCCATCCCATCCTTTATCCCACTTGATTTGACTTTCTCTCCTCAACTCAACCCAAGCCTGGACCGCCGATTGACCTCATACTATTGACTTCTCCGACATCTATTCCAACCTACCAATCAAGCATCATGGACTTCGTCAAGAACCTTGCTGGAGGTGACAATAATAGCAACTCAGCCTCTTCTTCTGACCAGCCCGAGAAGAAGGAGTCTGGCGGCTTCATGGACAAGCTCAATGGCTTGGCCGGCGGTGGCCGCGAGAGCGAGAAGCAGGAAGACGGCCTTGACAAGGGTGCGTGTGCCGCTCTCCAGCACCATCCCTACTCCTGGAAGTCATGAGGCTAACGTCATCCCATAGCTGTCGATTTTGTCCAGGAAAAGTTTCTCGGTCAAGGTCCTCAGGACAACGAGAGCGCCGCCGAACAGGCAAAAGATGAACAGATCAGTGACTTCATCCGTGGCCAATACAAGAACACAACCGGCAAGGATATCCCAATTGAGGACAAGGATAAGAAGTATGGCCTATAAATCCGTCGACATTTCAGTCGAACATCTCACAGAGAACGGGCGCGGCGCTCCGTTTGAGTTCACATATAAAGCGACCTGAAAATGGCAGCTAGGCAAACTGGAGTTGATGAATGGCGGTGACTGGCACAATGCACTTGGAAGAGGACCCTGGAATGGGACTGGACTTTGAGAATTGTACCTACCTAGTAGTACCTACGACATCACGACTTTAACGACTGCCAACCACAGGCTTGATGCTACAGTGTGTCTTCTCCCCGTCGACTCCCATGCTCGAGCTACTACCTGAGGATACGCAAGATCCAACTAGCCTGCCGTCAAACCGCTCAACGTAGTGATGCATCCGTGGATACTCGAGGAACTTTACCGTGCTGCATAGCTCGCAGCTTCGAGAACGATGACCACGAACAATTTGCCTGCTCTGAACAAAGCTATTATACAAACGCTTGAAGATATTGCCTAAGACTTGCATTGCCACGTACCCAGGTTCTTCGATCCAAACCTTTGTTGTGGCTCCGCCGTTGTACTTTGGGTGTTCTCATAGAGCAATGGCCCCATCTATATATCACAAAGCCAGGCTTCCATCATTCTTCTAAATTGAAGCATTCCCTCTGCCTGAGCATGAACATCTGAGAATTCGCATCTTACAAGGAAGCGCAACTTACGTTGCCAGTATTCTATTTCTACATGGCCACCCGCCCAACATACACATATCAACCCCCCGTTGATGACCACGACGAAGCCGGTCATAAAATCGTCTCCAAGGCAGGTTCCTTTTTCGAAACAACAGTCCCAGACAACATGTGCTTCACCCAGAAGACCATCCACACAGTATGTGCCCATTCCGCAGTGGAGCTTGTCGAGTGCAGGAAGTTTCTCACAAGACGAGATAAAACTGGCCGTAGTGCTTGCATCGTACCTCTCTGCCAGCACACGCAAGCCCTGGCCACCGTACTCGGCTTCTGCCACCACTGCGAGGTGGTTTACAACGGTGTCGACGTTTCCACAGTCAGCGCCTCAAAAGTGCTCGAAAACTACTGGAAGTTCAAAGCCGTACAGAAATGGCACCACCCTGTCGATCCTCTCATGGTCCCCGCCTCGGCGCTCACGCAAGCAAGCATGAGACTCTGTCAATCATGGTACAGCTTCGCACGAACTGAAAAAGAAGTGACCAGAGATATGGTGATGGCTGTTTCTGTGCAGTCATTGGTTCATGCCCTTGGTGAACCAGTCACACATCCTTCCTGTGATCTATGCCGGACGAAGCATCGCACGGATATCTGCCGGATCGCAGTCGGTGGACAGATGGCAACTGTAAGCTGGGCAGTACGACTCGCAAATGCCGGGGACATCTTCAAGTCTTATGAAGTCTCTCGTGAGCTGAGCCATACCAGCAACGTGGAAAACATGAATCGCGGTGATTATGGAGACGAATCGAGGCTCTCTCCTGATATGGTCCGGAGTCCGAAGCTCACCTTCGCCTCGCCGGAGCTCCCTGCTGACAGCCCTCCGCCACGTCGCCTGAACATCCATGAGCGCCGTCAAATTGAATTCCAGGAACGTCAAAGATTATTCGCAGAGCTCGCAGCCAACCACGAAAAGGGTATTCAAAGGCTCAAGGAACAAGCAGAGCTTGAGATTCGAGCAGAAGAGGCGTTCAGAAAGACGCTAGCAGCCTCCAACGATGCCACCGCCGCCATCACTACTTGTACTTCACTTGCCTCAGCTGATTCATCTCGTCCACATTCTCCGTCGGATGACTACACGAGTGCCTTTGTGAGCTTTAGTGGTGTTAATATTGAGACGCTGTCGTTCGACGACGATGGATCTAGCGAGTGCGGGTCCATCTCACGTCCTCTTCATTACGATGATTCTACTTATGCAGCTCTGTCAGGCGGTATCGACAATATGCGAGAGGTACATGAATTCCCGGGACCACGTCAGGCCGCGATAGTGAAGCCAGAGGACAGCGAAAACATGCACTCATGCTATGGCGAGATGGGCAGCATTGAAGAAGAAGACTCAGACGACCCGGAATACAATTATCGTCTTGCATGTAATCAAAGCGACATAATCGATGATCACTTGGAATTCTACTTCAAGAATGTCACTGGTGAAAACTGTTCGGCTTCAGACAGAAATTGTTTTTCGGCCAGCAACCTGAAATTGCCAGACATCCCCCCACTGTCTCCTCTCCAACTTACCGGCCTCGACGTACCAATTGAGACGGCGAATCACTCTGAACCTCGACCTGGCTCTTCCACACCATCTCATACGACTGAACTCTCACGACGACAAGGTTCCATGGAGAATACGGGCCCGAGAACGGAGAGCGGCGAGGGTCATAGAATCGCCAGTCCCACTTCTCCCAAGTCATTGACCGCAGCCCCATTCTCAGGACCGGAGATGCATCTGAAAGCGCCACCACGCCGGCTACGTGGCCCGATTTATTGCCCAGAGCATGCCATTGAAAGCAACGCCGACTGTCACGGATGCCAGGCGGGTCGTTGGGTTGAGGTTGGCTTGCCGCCGGGTGACCACGTCCAGGGGCCAGAGCCAAAGCCGATTTGAGGCTGAGTGCGAACGGCCAGGCAGGTGAGTAGTCTAATATAAGTGCTCACGTAAATAGCCCAGAATATCCAACTGAAGCCCCTGGAAAACGTTCGTTCGATTCCATTGTGGCTTGGACTAAGGTGAACGAATACCACCATGTGTTGTTCCTTGTGCCACAGCCGATGTGAAGAAGGGGGATTTTATGTATCATGCCTACCGTATGCAGGATGGTAAGCCGGTGTACGCATACGACTGCGCTGAAAGGGTTGTCAGGCTAAGAAGCTCATGCTATACCCCCCTATTGATGCACAAGAGAGTTTTTTATCGCTTTCGTTCTCGTGATTAAGAAACACGCGTGACTGCTCATGAAGCGTTTAAATGGCGTCATTGAATAATTCCCAATATGTCAGTCTTTGCACCTGTGTCCAAGTTTGTGAAAACTACTCGACTCTCGGCTTGCGTCAAATCGTGGCTCGGAGAATTCAACCATCACAGTAAGTATGACCCTTCTAGACATTCTTCAATTATCTATATATTCAAAATGCCTTTACTCAACGCAATACGCATTTTAGAGATAGCTGGCATCCGTAACTTCAAACTTTTGCGAAAAACGCTTCTATACACAAAATCACCTGGAACCAGGATGTGCTCGTTCAGATCGAAGCAGTTTCACCATGTCCTAGAGACTTCGCCAGCTCGAAGACGAACCTCACACGGGCTCACGATCTCATGGAAATCAAAACCATTCACCCTACCCGCGGTGGCTGCAAAGTGCCTCAAGTCTAGCTCTCGTAAGTATAGCAGGTCGCCCTGAGACAGGATGCTGTATCTTCAATACATCGATTCGAAAAGGCTGCCGCCACCAGTGCAACCATGTTAGCCACTGCATCTTCATAGAACAGGGTCGACATGTTAAAGAAGTTTGGGATTTACTACGTTGTTCCCGGCCACGGCGATTTCATGTGGAATGAAACGGCGCGTACGCGAGATCAGGGGCACAGCTTTCGTAAGTTTGTTTTTGAAGGCAGTCAAGCTTGAGTGTGTCATTCATCTGATTGACCTCCCCTTCGGCTGATATCACCAATAAATACGCGTCGAAAGAAGTTCTAGACAGTTTTTGGTTTATCTACAGAAAGTTAATATGTCCGAACCCAAGAGACGATTTGAAGAAGTGAAATCCGCCATCGGCACCAGAAACCGGAACCGGCTGTGGACACTAGAGCTTACAAGTCCACAAAGCCGCGGACATTTAATATATGGCATATGGTACCAGGACTTTAATGTCTTTTGGACAAATGCAAATTTGGAGGGGGTCCGACATTCGGGACATGACTATTGACTGCGGCCACTTGTCTTTGTGGGTATATGGACAGCTTCGTGTCCATAACTGCCACATACGACCATACCCACTGGAAAACTCGGGATCCCGTCCGCTCTCCCATAGATAAGCCAGTGAGGGCCGGATTAGTAGTTGGGTCGGTGACGACCAGCGAATACCTGGTGTTGTATGTTTTTGTTCTTTATGTATTACTGCCTTGTCTCCTTTTTGAAGCATGAACTCTTCGTTTCTAGGCGGGGCTGGATGCTGGAAAGCGCGGGTCGCCGTGGCGTAGTGTGAAGTGATTGACACAACTCCAGTATATTTCAATATTCCTCTTATGAACCACTTGACGTTTCCGTCGTTGGTTTCAACATGAGTCTTGGCCAGGATGCGACTATGGCTCCGTATCGTTCTAGGAATGGAGTGTTTCCTTGGTTGTAGCGTGATCTTTGCCTAACGCTATTTCACCCCAAATGGGATGGGTGGCCTCCTCGAAACTTGGAAATGTTGATTCTTATCGCTCTTTTGTAATCGCCTTCACCGTTTGTGTCTTCCCCCTTCGACTAGATACCTTTCTCAAAGATGACATCGTCGCCGTCGGAAATTGATGTGGGACAACGCAGTTGTACGACACTTGCGCAGGTCACTCTGGCATTAAACGCACTTTAACTAGGTAGACTCGAGATTTTCAGAAATTTCCGGTACAGATTGCCTTCATCTTGGGTTTTCCAATTGGGACCAAAAGACTTTGGCTGAGAGTGCGTAAGGGATCCTCAGGCCGGGGTTAAGAGGGGTAGGGGCAAATTGTCATCCTCTATATATTTCAACTCTTTTTACGATTTTGGTATTTAATTCAGCATGTGTTACACAAAGCTCGATTCGTAATTACAAAATGTCCCTGTAGGCAGGAAAAAACAATGCTACAGGTTCATTTTGATCAGTCTTGTTGGTAAGAAGCATCGACTTCTGGAATGTTGCTATTATGTCAAGAAAGATCGTCTCCAGCCGCATGGGGTCCACGGAACTGTGCTTCCTTTAGACTGCCTTGCGTATAGTTAGTGACCATGTAGAGAGAGGAGACTTTACTGACAATAAGTCGTAGATACCGAGGAGCCACCATCCTCGCCCTTGTTCATTATGTCAGATCCCCCGACCCAACATGTAGATAGACATAACCTTTAACAAGCAGTCGTTGGTTGTCAAACATCCATCACAGACCGTCGCACTTAGTCCTGCTCCATCCAATAATACTTGTTCATCCTGTTAGCTATTCCAAAGTCCTGAAAGCAAGTCACAACAGGCGAGATGGCTCATATCACTCAGGAGCTGTGATTTGACCCAAGGATTCAGTAGCTGCATTCATGAGGAGAAACCCTTGATCGCACATGCATAGTAACATGACAACTGCCGAGGACCAGGTTGGTAATGCCATGGCACGACGCGACAAGCCTGGCGTCGGGCTTCGGAGCATCTCGTTTTTATGTAGCATTGCGAGTGGTTTCTCAAACGGGCGATACGGATTACATTGAGACTGTCACTCACTCGTTGCTTCGTCCAGAGACCATTACATGAGGCCGAAAACTTCTCTGAGGATATCGAACCCTTCAGTGGTAGAGAATTGCCTAGGCGTTTGTTGCGAATGCTTCTCGCGAGGAACATGAGAAACACCCACCTTGCCTTCCGCCACTCTTCGCCATAGACAATCATGGAGCCAGCTGCCCGTCACCTCATATCTCTCACATTTCAGCTTGGAGTCATTGAAATGCAAGATACGAGAGGCATAATTCAACTCCGAGCTACTCTGTATTGGCTACATAGGTACAGGGAGTCTACGGTCAACTGTCTTGCTTGAAAGAATTTTGCACAACTGAATATGTGCATCTTGCAGCCGCCAAGGCCGAACCTACCCCAGATCAGCGACTACCATGTGATAAAGTACCACAGTGCTCAACTTCGATCTACAGTTGTGCTGCAAAGATTCCGATTAGGGTTTGGTCACCACACGAGTGATGTGACTTCAGCTCGGCGAAAACGCATCATGATCTACATCAGATCCCGATCACGGTCCATGGACTTCGACTCGTCACCGACTCAAAACTTTTGATCGACTTCTTAAAAATTTGATCAAAGCTGAAAGAATCTCCGCCTCCAAAAGTGGACCGCCGGGAACTTTTCAGATTGTGAACTGCTTGACGCCATGCCCGAGGTCGGTTCTTGACGTTGGTTGGGGTTTCGCAAGTGATGCTAGGCAAGGTTTACGTGGCAACAAAGACTAGAACCGAAACTCATCGATTGATGAAAGGGCCAAACTCTGAAAATCAACAAGCGAGCCGCGCGTTGTCAGAGTTGCCCAGAGGGCTCGAGCCAGCCCCGACAATTCAGATCTGAGGGCGGAACGAGCCTTGCACGCCTTGTAGACGCGTAGATCGCCGTGGTCATGATGCTGTTCCTTTTGTGCGAAAAGACACTAGACTCAACTAGAAACTAGGCAGAAAGAGCCCCTGGGAAGAGAGATGCAGGAACAATCGCTGATCTGATCTGTTTTGATGTTTGCTTTTTGCCACTGGGCTATCCGCATCTACAGTTTTCGTTGGTCTGCGTTTGATCGAGAGAGGGAATACCCGAGCCTGGAAAGAGATCAGCAAAGCACGGGCGATCGTTACCCCTGAGGCTCCATAACACTGATTCGTTGTGGTTCTGTTCCTCCTTTGAGCAGAGGGGAACGGGGATCATCTTGGAGTCTCTGGACTGCCCAAAGCACATGACTCCCTCTGGCCCACATGACGAGCAGCATCAACTTGGGCCGCCGTCTAGGTTGCACCATTCGTTACCCCATCCAAGAGATGCGCATTTCAGGGAGGGAAAGAAGAGGATTTAACAACACAGTACAGAATAAGCGAAGAGTCTTGGCGCCTTGCGTTATGTTAGCTGAGATAAGCCTAGAGTCTAGGTCAGTCACGTCACGTCGATAGAGGGTCGAACGTTCGGCGGCTCATCGGCACATTGCAACCCTTCAAGGTTGTAAAAGGGTTGTTGAGCGCACTGAACGGCCGATAGTCCCGGAAGAAAGCGCGGTTCCGCACATACGATCTCAGCTGGTCTCTTGGCGGGGTTGTCCTTTAGGAGCTGAATGACAGTTTTCCAGTGTTTCATCGGCCTGCTTTTGGAAGAAGGCTTCTTCCTCGGAATTGAGGCTCTCATGCCAGTGTGTCTGTCAACGACAAAGGTTGCGTCAATGCGGCCGATGATCAAGACGGGCAGCCTTCCCCTGGTGTCTGTCGAGGAGCTCAGCGCGATCGTAGAGGCCGTCGACACCTAGACATGTCGCGGAAGCTGTGCGGAACCCGTAGCGCAGCGTCGTAGGTAGGAGCGCTCAAGATGTGCTCATGAGAAGAGTCTGCGGGGAGTGGCCCTTGCCGCAGATCTCGGAGACCAAGGCGATCAAGTGGGCTGTGTGTCACGATGGAGTCGTCGAGATTGACCTCGCCACGTTGTCAAGTCGCGATGGCGTCGACGGGCCCCAACGCGTTGACGAAACCTTTGCAGAAAACGGGCCCTAAGCCTGCGCGTTCCTGAAATAGGGCATCTGATCGCGTCTTAGGTCGAAGCAGACTCGGTTTCTGGGACCATGATGGGATGGCAGAGGCCATGGACCGTGGACCGTGAGCCTGGAGCATTAACAGCCTGTCGAAACCCCGTTGCGCTCGGTGACCGGGATTCGGTGTATAGCCCAGCCTCGGAAGAGGAAAAGCGCGCCATTGAGACGAGAAATAGGAGTCTCCGCACCGGGAGCCGAGGAGGAGGACCTGGATGGATGGATTGACAGGAGCGCATAGCTGGAGGTGTCTTCCATCAAGCCATCGTCCAAGCCATTGTCTTTCTGTGCCACATTTGGAACGGGTTAAAACGTTGCTTAGATGGCTATCAGATAACTGGCGGCCGATATGGCGTCCTTCATAACGGAGTCGGCGTTGTGCCTGTGTTTGGTGGTTGCGAGGGTGGTTGTCGTTGGATAAAAGAATAGCGTGTGTCCAACACACATTCTCAACGAGCCCACGAGCCTACGAGAGGCGTCGAAGAGGCTTCCAGCCCTCAAAGGTAGGCAAAGGCCATGATTGGTCGATGTGCGGGATGAGGTCAGGTTTGGACGGTGCAGGCCGGTTGTGTGACTCGCAGAGTTCATGAGGCGTGACGAGGTATCCAAATCGAGCGAAGCCGAGCCGGGTTCGGGCGTGTTGCTTGCATGCCGGTGTGCTCATTCCCGTCCGGAGTTGGCGGCCACGCCCTCGGGATTAGCTGCAGGTCCAATTTCCTTAAGCGGGCTCACACGGACCGTAGAGTGAGCAGAGAGGCGTCGGTCTTGCTTGTAGCCTCGTGTTAAGGTAGCCCGCCCCGTTTGTTGAAACATACGCACTGGCATTGACTCTGTACTAGTGTAAGCCAGTTGAAGGGGTGCGTTTTCCCAAAGAAGCCGCCAGCGGAGCCAAGACTGTGGGTTGGAGAATTGACTTTGATGGCGTTGCCGCTGCGGGACCTGGCACTGCTTATGCTAGTTGCAAGCCAGAGTGGAAGCGCGTTGGTTGGTGTTGCTTTGGCAAGCCACCTTTCTTTTGCCTCGGTGATGTGAGAATACGCGGTCGACCGATGACAGAAGACCGGTCGAAGGAGTAGTCTCGAAAAAAACAGATGTTTGTGGTAGGGAGAGATCCGCGTCTTGATAGTACGCTGGTAGTTCATCGAACGTTGGTGAGTGCGTCCGAGACCGTGAGATAGTGACGGGAGCCATGGACAGTGCCGGAGCAGAAAAACGCACGAGTACAACATGGGCGATGGGCAGAGAGACTGAACCGGCGTCTTCCTCGGGGTCGGGGCGGCGAAGTGGATGAAAACGTACGGATATCATCACGGCCATGTGATGTACGGCGCCGCATGCTATGCAGGGTGACCTTCAACATGGTCAAATAGATGCGATAGGGAGAGGAGCGAACCACGTAGCCCAAGGTAAAACAGAGGCAATCCGGGTCTCTGGCGCCACTAAGCAAGCAGACTGCTAGATGAGTCGGTCGTGGGTTTCATCAGATCCATCGACTGGCGCAGACAATCAAGACCAAACGTTGCAGAAGCCGGCTCCAGCGCAGCAGTCAAGGTCTCGGCAAGGGACGATCGTCAAAAGATCATTTGATATGCTGACGGCTGTTGGACGGATCTCGGAGGCACGAACTTATCGAGGCACCAATAGCTGCAGCTAAACCGCATGTGAACGTTGCGAGCCCACAGGCTCATCAAACATGGAATCTCTGATTGAGTGCTCTCGGACCTCAAAGTCTGCGCGTCGCCCCCCCCTCCCCTTTTTTATTTTTATCTTATTTTATTTTGTGCACCGCCGAGCTCGCCGCGAATAGAACCTGGCCCCCTCGCGATCCCGCAGGCTCGTCTTGGTTTGTTGGTGGCCTCAGGTCCTGGGCCGTGCCCTCTTTTGTCTTTTTTGATGTGTATTTGTTCTCGGTTTTACTTTAGGGGGGTGTCTGTCATAGATTGATGTCGAAGACCCGGACGGCGGGATGTAGCGAATTAGTGCCTTTAGCGTAAAGACATATACTGTCTCCAGGCAGTTATGTATTTTGAGCCAATGCCGTACAAGACGCGCCGGGCCTCAGTGAGAGCTGTGCCAGTCTCGCCGAGAGGTCGTTGCTGGCGGCTCCAGTCTGTCGAAGAAGGCGGCCCGGCGGATAGAGCCCGAATAGGGGTTGGGGGAGTGTCCCGCGTCAACGATGAGTGATGAGTAAAACGAATCGGTGATAGGGTTCGCATCAAGCAAGGCGCGCAAAGGGCGGACGATGATGGCGGCTGTGGGGGATTTTCATAGCTTGTCCCGCATTATCAGCCGTAAAAAGCGACCACGGGCGACGATGCCAGACGGGTAGTCTTCATACTCGTACTGTGTGATGAACGTACACTGTGTCCATCCATCCCGTCCGTAAAGATGCAAACAAGCTTGCCTGGCTAATTCGAATCCCTAATTGACCGAGACGTCTTCCCTTTGTAATGTGACCATCCAGAAGGTTTGATAGTGATATGTGGTCTTCGGGTGCTGGAACTGGCGCGTTTGTCCCGTCAGAGAAGAGCAGACATTTCAATATTGCCCACTCGACAGCGGGACCCTGATGCTCGGCCCCGTTCATTCTCCAGCCCCCCATGCTCTTTTGCGAGCGAATGCTGGGATGACCAGCCTGGTTGGTTCACCAGGCAAATGGCTTCATAGAGGTCTCCGGACAGAGCTTTGCCGGTTGTTGACATCGTATTGCGTTGCGCACCTCTGCGATTTTGACGTGACATATGCCAGAGCAAAATTCGGATGAAAACAGCTCAGTCGCATGGTTCCCATGCCTCGTCCGATGAATAGCACGTCCATGGCGAGTTTGGTAAGAGGAAAACGAACAAACGTCTCAAAAGGGAAATGCATTTGAAACATGCCGGGATCAATGGTGAGGAAAGAGGACGAGAGGGGGGGAGAGGGGGGTACTGCAGGAGATTGAGCGGTTCGTCTGAAGAGGCGACCATGTACCTTAGTGCTCCCGTATGAGTAAAACTATTATCAGGGAAGCAGCGGAGCGACGTGGAGGCGAATCGCACCTGCATCTCAAGGGCGCTCAGGTTCCGTACCTGACCTGGAAGCTGGAGTCCTGGACAAGGATTGGACGGCAACGGCACAGGCGCAGGCAGGCACAACGTGGCGGCGCTTCGGATCCGACCAGCTGGGCGTGCGCCCGCCTAAGGGATCCGGTAATACAGCAAGAACCTACAAGGGGTTTTCACCTTCCGCCGACAACCCACAGCTTGCCGTCCTCGCTTCTCCTTCTCCCATCTATGATCTACGGATAAGGTAGGTGAGGATAAGGTCCATCGATGTGTCTGTACGTATACCCGTCCGACGGCTGAGCCTCGCGGTATCGACAGCTGCTTGCACTTTGCCCGGACCACACCTTACCTGGACATGCTGTCCTTCCCCGGTTTCCAAATCACCTAGGTACCCACGATGGGTATCTTACACAATAGGGTAAGAAGGAGGAAGCTCTCCTATTTGTTTTCCATAGCATACCTTACCTTAGGCACTAGGTACCCTCTAACTTCCCTTGGCAATCTTGAAAGAATATCAGCAAAAGACACCAAAAAAAAAAGGCGCCGTCAGTTAGTGCAAACGTTGTTGGTCAGGCCTCGAGCAAGCCCCATCAATGCCATACGGGGCCAAAGATGTCCAATGTTTGTACCATAGTGTTGCCACTGGTTGTCCGTGCAACGCGTCGCTCGATTTCTTCCCCAAGGGGGAAAGGGGTATGGAGTGCGGACCCTGATCTTTAATGTGAGACTCGAGTCATCTGCCACTCGGCGAACTCAATACGTGCGTACTCAAGGCACGCGATTGGCCTGCATATCATACCCACTTCGCAAAGTATCGTTCCAGCATAGGATTCTGAGAGGATACACTACAGCGCGTGAAAAGGCAAGGTCTTCGGGGTTGGTTCAAATGAAACATGACGGCAACGGTAGAGAGAGAGAGAGAGTGTGTGGCACCAGTCTTAAGCTTCAGAGTAGCAAAGTCTGATACCCAGGAAACAGTGGAAGAGAGAATGAAAACCGACCAAACCCAAGGGCACAGAAATCGAGGGTCCGCGACGAGGCCTCCTGCCCGTAGTAGGCAATTTTGCGAGGACGACTGCAAGGCACAAGTAAGCGCGGGCGGATCACGCAGCGGACGAGCAGACTTGGGCGATTCCATTCGAATTGTGGACTGTGTTGGTTGCCGTGGGATGGCATGACATGACACATGAGGGAGCGCGGAGTGGGGCACCGGCGCCTCCAAGAGAGAGACTGAGACTACTATCTGTAGACTGTTTCCGCGTGCTTGACCCCAAGAGGAAATGACTTTCTCGGTGCCTGGTTGGATGCCCGATGCAAAATTCGACACTCGTAGACGGTAGTAGTCATCCCGAATTTTTTGTATACGTAGCTGGAGACGTATGATTATTGCCAGAGATATGATGCTAATTCGAGAGCCGTTGGCTTCGTGGGCGTGCCTGGGGAGATTGCGCGCGCTGTCTAGCGAGGAAGTGACTATGGCTTGGTCGACTTGGTGGCTGCTTTCTCGCATTCGGTCTCCTTCGTGTCTTCTATTCTCGATTCTATCACCTAGGCCGTGCCCAGCACAGGTTTCTGGATCTAGATGGGTTGCTTGAAGTGGAGTACGGGCAGAGTACTCCGTAGTGTGGTGAGAAGATACATCATACGTATGGCTGATGGACGGGAGGTTGCAGGTCCAAAAAAAAAAAAAAAAGTTACGAGACGAGACCAGACGAGCCGATGAGAAAGGCCGGTTCCTGGCAATGAATAGTACATTGTAACCGTCCCGTCCGCGTCCACTTGACGTACCATCCGACATCGACAATCCCATTCATGCCCCTAAGCCCACGTCTCTGCCAACTTCCAAGCGCGACTTGATAATGTGAGACGCGCCGCTAGCTCCAATCGGGAGTTGATGTGCCGCTGGGATATTCGTGTAAGAAGCACGATGAGGCAGAGACGTTGGCGAAGCTGCTACAAGCTAGCAACGGCGACGCAGATACGGTGCCTCAGTAGAAGCTAAAAAGGGACGTTGGGGTGGTAATGTAGCAGAAGATGGATGGCGCAAGGCGTGGCACGGCGAGAGACATGGCCTTCTGTTGAGGCAGAAGATGGTCGGTCAATGCGTATCGTGTTGGATCTTGTGTCCCGTATCAGCAAGAGTCGGTGACCACTGGCCAAAAGAAAAGAAAGATGTATCCGTCGCGAGGTACATTGGCAACTGTATATCCATACCTTACACCTCAGCGCGGGCTGACGTATTCGTGGCTGTATACGGATACAGTAGGGTTGAAATGTCCCAGAGGAAGCTGTCGCCAAGGACGGCCCCACAGCGGAGGTGCATGCTGTATGTTGTAGGTTTGAGGCGCGAGCTTCTAAGGTACTGGTAGGTTTGTGTCATGTCTTTGCTCTTTGGAGTTTGGAGGCTTTTTGGTCGATAATCAAGGCGACCGGCATCCCGTCCAATCAAAGCGGGCGTCCAATCAAGCCCGAGTTTGTGGCTAATTGTTTCCCCTCATCCTTCCCATCCTTATCCCGTCATCTTATTAAAGCTGGCTCAAATCGGCAATGGGCCCCTGCCACTCATCCCTGGAGTTTCCTGTGGCTCCCCTTGCACATCATCTCATGGTCTCCGAAGCTC